GTATGTATGTGAGCGTAGTTCAAGCTAGAATCGTGATAGTCGTCCCAGAACCATCCGCACGTACGGCGTTCCATTCACCTGATGTAAAAATAACTATCCTGGGACGACTGTTGCTCCTAACTTGATTCACTGGTATATTCATGTATGCGTATTTGTGTATATACGCGCAATATATATGTAAGTGGTACCGTCAGAGCAACTAAGCTTCAAAGCAATTCAGCTTCTAAAGGCATCGAGAATCGTATCGTACGATGTCAGTTTCAAGACTGATTCTGTTTTTCATGAGGCGCGATAAAGTAATAAGTTTATCTAAAAAAGTTGTCGTTCTATTTGTATCTTATATGTGAATTATATCATCGCTCATTATGAACGAGTACGTCTGATTAACCCTTCATTTGACACGTCTTATCGAGTATATTGTTTCTAATCGAGCTTCGTTCGTTAGTATCAGGCAACATTAACGTTCGCGCATGCACTGGGAGTTGAGTCTGCGAGTTTCGGGCTATTACCTCGAGTAATTACCTGCCAATCAAAGGATTAATCGCGTCTGATCGCTCTGACGGGCGTATGCCTGTATGATGTAAGAATACGAGCCATTGTTCGTTTGTATGTGTGTAAGAAACAAGTAGATGCGACAACGTTGAAGAATGTGTGAAAGAATGTGTGAGAGTGGATCCGGTACGGTACGGAAGAGTGCAGTGGGTACGCTAGGTTTTTGGTTAATTTCTCTTGGTGGGTAGTTGCGAGAGACCCACCTTCGGTTGACAAGATTGTCTCTGTAAGGATCGCGTGGCTGCCGTTTCATAATGTCCGACTCCGGTGCCTCGTAGGCTAGCGAGATGGCCGGCACCTGCCATCCACCATTGATTAGAAAGTGCACTACTACCCCGCACCAACGTTACAAAGAGTTATACGCAAGAGACATAACTATTAATTGGTATTTGTCTTTTTCCTTTTTTATGTACGCGTATACATCCCTTCACGGTAATGCATGTACGCGCAGTGCAAGCGAAAGAGACTGGAGATAGTAAAAGTGAGGAGAGACTTGAAAATCACGCAAGTCGATGTGACGTAAATAAAAAGATGTAAATGAAGAGGGCGACAGTGAAGTATAAGAAAAAAATGGGCAAATGAGCTTCCCAATCGAGGTGTGAACTCTCAATCGCGCGTTCTCATGCTTCTTTTTCTCGAATCCCGCGTATATCGAGAGATCTCCATCAAGATCTTTCGTACTCAGTCGGATTAGAGATTCTTGAATCAGAGATTGGTCATAAAGTAATGCATTTTTATTGGTCCGTTAAGTTCTTTATCAATTCCCGCTCATATATTCAAATCGTGATAATCTCACGCACCTTATTACTTCAACAATACAAATAAAAAATAAACGTTTCAAAAAAATTGGATATTTTTTATATCAAACATTAAAGTAATATATACTGAAAGATTCCTCATATTTAATGTTTTCTTTTCTGTATAAGACATTCCGTGCCCACAAAGTCCGCAGTTCAAGATCACTTCGAAATATCTTCATGATATATTCTCTCGATGATGAATTATTACAGAACGGTGCTGCATATTCATTCATCTTTTCAAGAAATTCCAATAATGTATACATTACAATGATATATTTTATAGGAATATATTACAATAATACTGATATTGAAATATATTATAATGATATTGGAATATATTATAATAATACATATAATAATACTGATAATTGTAGTTGCCAGCTTCATAGTGCGATAATGTTGTGCACTTGCGTCAAAGTAAGCTAGGCTAAATTTAAAGAAGTTGTAAGGCTCAGTTGTATTTTCAGTAGCGCATTAAGAGGACTATTCGTAAACTTATTATTTATTAAACAAAATTATGCTTTTCTATACATTTACTTCATTTCTTACGTGGTAAGTGTTAGTTCAAGACAAAGTTGATGGATATATGTACACAATATTATGAAAAAATATTACGAAAAATATTATTAATTAATTTTTCATATTAATATTTTATTTGTATATTAGTTGATCTAATAGAGATGTATATACAGTAGAAAGAAGTATATAAATATTTAAATATATGTATATGCATTTCGAGTATTATTATAAAAATTATAAACCTTTCACTGTTGCATTTTCCAAATGAAACAGCTAATAATTCCGAAATTTTTGTAAAATGCCAATGCATCAGTCAATATTATAGTTTTTCATTAAAACTCTAATTTTAGTTTGCAAGAAATTAGAAATATAAACTAAGAATAGCGCGTCTCAAACTCAAAAGTGTCAACTTTAGTTTCAAATATCTTAACTCCCGAATGGTTAATTTTTTTTAACATAATATTAGAGGTTAATTTTTTTACATAATATTAGAGAAAGTATATAATATTTCAATTTTTATATATGTAATATACGTTTCAATGAATTCATAATAAACTCATGTTGCCTTATAACTTCCTTAAGAATCAAATAGTATTTCCTTTCGTCTCACACGATTTCGATGAAATCACTTTTATGGTTACTTTCTGATTTAAAATCTCTAAGCCGGATGCCATGACAGCGTGCTCTCTGGCGAAGAAAGTGATTACCGCGACCGATTCCGTTCCAAATCGCAGCCTATTCGCAGCGGAAGTATTCGCATCGCGAGAAAGAGTAGCGATAGAGAAAGAAAGAGAGAGAGAAAGAGAGAGAGACGGAGGTAGAGAGAGAGGGGGGAGAGATAGGGAAATAGAGGGGGAGGGAGGGAGGGGAGAGAGAGAGAGAATCCTGGATGGTACGTACATCGGTGAGCGTGCACTCAGTATAGCGCTGCGTTTTATCCAGCCCGGAATCGGCCCGGTGTTGTGAAGAAAAAGGAGATATCGTTCGTGTCGCGTCTGAAGCGAAGTGAAAAGAGGTCGCAAGAGGGAACACAGATGGACCTTTCAGATCCTTTTCCACTTTTCAATGTCCCTCGTGCTGCAGAACCGCAATCGTTATTATCACCGCGCGTTTCTCGATTGCGAATCGACCCTTCATCGGTGCTCGACGATTCACGTGCATCGCAACAATAGCGAGTTGTCGAAAGCACTGCGAATTCATGTGTGTGTGTACAAATTTGCGTTAAAGAGATTGGCAAACAATTTCGATGGAGTTTTCAAGTAAGATCAGCACGATGAATTAAGCGAAACACTCGTACATTCATCGAACACCTCCGAAGACGCAGATGAGGAGGATCCCTTCTCTTTCGTGCACTTCGAGTACGATCTCAAGCGTAGTTTTGCTAGCATCGTGACGTGCAACCCCTCGTGATGCACGACATTACGCGGCTACCCTCGCTGTCTACGAGGGTTCTTACATTTTTACAATCTAATGGGGCATGGTCGACATGACACAGCCGACGTCAAATCAATCGCGTTCAACTGAAATGCGTGTTTAATGCTACTGCGCGAATTCCGGTCGTATACACGAGGGTGGTTGCTGTCACGCATGAATTTTTCCCATTATTTTTCTCCCATCACAATGTGTATGCATGAAAATATTTTTCTCCCCCGTTTATCTAGCACGTTTTATATATCAGTCGTTCAGCGTTTCCCATTAGAAAGGTTGCCAGTCGCAGAGTGGTAGAAGGCAGCGGCAGTAGGCAGCGCATTACAGAATAAAACGTGAGAGGACTGTAAAGAATAAAAAACTGCAAGAAAAATCATGACGCTCAAAAGTGGCACAAAAGTGTTGTTTTCGACTTTTTGTTCTCTTTTCTTTTGTCTTTTGGCGGTGATTATGGTGGCAGTAACGAACAGTAGTAAATATAGTAATAAGTAGTAAGTAGTAGTAATACAGAGGTAGCAGCGGCAGCTGTGACAGTAGATATAAAATAGTAATGGCAGTAAAAATTCTGTAACTATATAGTAAACGATGCTGGCTTGTGGTTTTAATAATGATAATAATAAGACTAGTAACGAGGACAAGAGAATAATGATGATAATAATTACTGAGCATCAAAGATTAAATGTAAATATATACACATGTCTATATACATATAAAACTCCCACAAAAAGAGCGCCGCAACTCAAAAAAGTTTGTACTTCGACAAGACACTAGCGAATGAATCGAAGTATAAATTAGATAGAGTAAACATGATATGTAAACGTAAAGTTTGAGTAAAATTTTGTTATTTAATTGCCCCGATGGGGAAATCAATCAGTACTTGACAATATCTCACTCACACGAGATTATATTTCTTTTTGACTTGCGGCAACGTTCTTGCGAGAGTGCAGATAAATGTATGTGTAAGATCGATTAGAATTCAACTAGCTGAGGTTAAAAACCGAAGCTTCGTCGACCAATGCGAAACATTCGTTAGTTCCATTTGCGAAGCGCACATTTTCGCGGTGTTCGCAGAACAAATCCTCGCCCCGTTCCGCTCTGCCCCTAAATAGAGTTCCGTCGACGAAACTTGCTTTACGCTGAATTACGAAATGACTAAGAACGATCGTTGCTCAACTGGCCATGAGAAAAAGGAAAGAATGAATCGCTTGATGCAGTATCTGATGCATAGCACGGCTTGCTCGGTGTTCTCTTACTGATAGATCTCCAAGAGACAATCTGGCAAACTCTACGAAAGAAAAGTGATAGATAGAGAAAGAGAGATACAGAGAAAAAGAGAGGAGTTGCTGTTGCAAAAAGAAAGAAAGAGAAAAAGAGAGAGAGAGGGAAAATTAGAAAAAAATATGCAATACGCATCACGCAGGTGTGAAAGTGTCGCACAAACTCCTACCGTTCTGCATCCATCGATTCGATCGAATATTAACTGAGAGCAGTTTTTCCGCTATGTCAACTTGGTTAAACCTTTGTCCACCTCTATGTCTACGAAAGATCGGACGTAAAAAAAACAAGGGAGACAAGGGACGAATGAATAAATCTATAAATGGAACGTGTCCTACTGTGGCACGACAACGACGAGTGGCGCGATCGACAATTTTACGATTGTCGCGATGGGAATTAAGTGACAAGATGGTATCTATTTAATAAAAAAGTAACTATTGTTCGCGAGCATTTCATCTTCGCTCATTTACACGTACACACCGCCGGATGGATCTTGCTAAGCCGTAATGATAGTAAAACAATTCCAAGTTGAAAAGAAATTGATTTTCCTGAGCAAGGCGCGGAAACTGCAGTAATAAAACTTGGCCAAGGGCAATGAAGGCAGCTAGAAACAACGGAGGTAGAAATAGATAGATGGCTAGATAAATGGAGATAAAGAAAAACGAAGAAAACAGTTTTTTCAAGAGAGATAACAAAGGGAGAGATTACGTTTCATATACGTAAATTCACGTACGGACGACAATATTTCTATTCTATCATAACTATTCTATTTAAATATTTATGGAGAATTAGAATAGAGAGAGAGAGGGGGGGGAGAGGGAGAGAGAGAGAGAGAGAGAGAGAGAGAGAGAGAGAGAGAGAGAGAGAGAGAG